AAAAAAAAAAAAGCGAAGCAGTCGTCGGCGGGACTCGAACGCACGCCGCCGGCGCAAAAATGTATGGACGGGAGCCTTAGTCGGCTCTGCTACGCCGCTTACTCGAAAAAGATTCTAATGTTCTTCTTTACATGGGACATAGTTGCGTGACCCTAACTTTGTTTTGTAATTTCTCCTAAACGAAGGCCCATTGGCACAAACGCCTTTAGGGTTTTTATTAGCTACATGTAAGCTATCGAACGCACTATGACTCGTTGGAAAAGCGATTTCCTAATTGGCGTCATCTCCTTGTTAGTATAAGACCAAAGGAAACTATGTTCAAGGTGCCTAATATTTTTGTTTCTTCTACATCAGGCAAATTAATATCAAACCATGTACAAATTTGTTTAAAAGAAGCATTTTTTTCGAATATCGGGCCACAATTTGTATTACTATTAGATTCTTGGGGAGTGGAGAATATCCCAACATATTCCATCCCTTAAAAGTGCAATTGGGCACGTATCCCTTCTTTTGGTCTACATTACAACATATTTCACGTTTATCGAAATCGAAGGGGGATACTTCCGTGGGTTCTCTAGTTAGTAGAAACTAAATTTTTAGATTATAAAAAAATAGTGAATGATGGGGGCATGTTAAGAATTTTAACATTTTTTTTTAATCTGGGAATGGCGTTATAAAATATTATTCAAACTATTACATTTTTATTTAGAAATTTTTTTTCTATCTCTTATATTTTTGATGATGTATACTTCGAAAAAAAAAAAAAAAACGATTGTTCAAAGAGATATTTGAACCCCCTAAAAGACCGATTGGCTTTTATAAATTACAACATATTTGAAGCTCCAAATCGAAGGCGAATCGTTGTTCCAAAAGTGATCCTAAAGTAAAATGCGATATTTGTGGCGAAACTGTCATAATTATTTGTTTCTGATATAAAAAATCATTTTGTATGACACATTTTTTCCATAATCAACATCTTTGCAACAAATATGTGCCACAATATGCCATAAATATAACACATCCTTATTATCCGTTTATATGCAAATTCTGTACTTTTTTATACATATTATATTGTTAAATATATATAATTGCCAATATTATTATTTTACAATTTCATCATTACTTCAAAATTTATATTAACCCTCTTGTTGTACCTTCAGCAATTGTTAATGATATGTTGCATTTTCATATTGCATGCGCTTGCTCTCTCTTGCAGAGATAACAGAATCTTTGTTTCTTCATTTTAATTCGCTTTGATCTTGCATCGATTTATCTTTATGATTGCATTGAACATAGATTTCACATATATTTAATTCAGGAAATATACATTGGAAACTTCTGCAAATAGCGACGTCAAATAGCGCATATACATTTGCTGTTATTATATATGCAAATTTATCTGTATTCACGTTTTTATTTTGTGTAATACGTCGCATATCATATCATTAAGATTAATTCGTTCTCATCTTGTAGTATGAGAAAATATGTACAAGTAGAGGAAAGTAGCCAAAAGCGACATAGGCGGCCTCCTAAAGCGACACACCTCTATATCTCATATATGAAATGTTGTATTTTATCGAAACTATTATAAACGTAATTCGTTTTACCAGTAAAGTCATGAAAAAGTCATACTTGGTATATTTCTTGTTCCTTTATATGCTAAATTAGCAAATATTGAGTTTTAGAAATTCGCAAATAACCTTCAAAAACAAAGTGGTATGTCGCTTTTGGTGCCTTTACTTTAGTTATGAAGCATAGTGCAACTGAAAAAAATAACGCAACAATACGTATTTACTCGCACAGCGTGACAACATGATAGCACAATGTTATCATGTTGTTATTAAAAAATTTAATGGTGAATATTTTCTATTATTATATACGATTGATTGATTTAACATTTTTAAATTTATCCTTACAAAAACTTAAAAGTTTGGGAAGGTAACGAGTAAAGAGGAGAAATTAAGATTTGACATTTTTGAAAAATTTAAATACACCGTTGCAAAGAGTATAAAATACTGTAAAACTTTTGTATAAATATTTTTAGAACGTTCTTAGGATATCTAGTTAACATTTGTGCTATATGAGTATTTGTTAAAAAATGAAAAAGTTTTCATTTTTCAAGAGACTCTCTTCAAGGGATTGTTTCAACCCCTAAATTTCGAGAAAGGCTAATAAAAAATACGGGTTTAATAGTTTTTGATATTCTACGACATATCTAAAGTCCATCAAAATCAGTGAGGAACGCAGTTCTTTTGTTGGTCACTTTGATTTGACTGATAATACTGAAGGTATATACAAAATACACGACTATAATCTTCATAGATAAGAACTCTAGTGGTAAAAATTCATATCATATTTATATCATATTAGCAATGAAATTGACGTGAGTCCAAGGTATAGCACCTTCCCGTACTATAAATATTATGGTTTTAAGAAAAATAATTTTGTTTTCATTAAATCTTACTATAACGCTAATGATAATAACCTTATATATGTGTTACTAGTATCTCTTACTATAAAAAATATGGTTGGGACCAAAAATAACTATAATTTTAGTTAGACCAACCATTGTTTCTCTCAGTGCAGGGGGTTGCCACGCAGCCAATTGCTCTCAGTTATTTCAGCCGAGTTTTAATGCAGCTGAATGTTTTCGGTCGCAGTAACGGAGATATTATTTCTCGTCAGCGAGTTTCTCGTCCGGTCCCCACTCAGAGCTGAAATCCTTTTTTCCGTGTGTAAGCTGTTGGAAACAAAAAGAATCATCAATCTGCGAATTGCGAACGATTCTCGGACAAGCTCGTCGCCTCGCCGACGAGGACAGTAACGCGCGGCCAATAATTACATAATCACCTAATTAACCTCGTGAACGCTAAGCGGCGACGTTGCCCCCTTTCGAGCCTGCTCCGCCCGCGATTCGTTCTTCTCCTCCTTCTGCTTAGCTCTCTCGCTATCTTTGTACTCTCGATTCTGTTTCTTAGCACCGTGAAGCTCCGCGCGCGTTTCTGCCACTTCAATTCAAGAGACGATACTTTCCATACGAAATTGGACTCTGAATCGCGCTTGACATCCCAGGACAAATCCGCTTCAACCGACGACTACTCTTTCGCACGAGCGCGTGGAGGAACCAAGTATGCGGAGGTCGGGAATCGCTTTTGCATAAATAACCGATCAAGCGCAATGTTACACCGCGCGATTAAAGGGCAGTAAAAGGAGAAAAATGTGCCGGATGAAACGGCCAAGTGCTGTTGCCGAGTTTAACGATTCGAAGAGGTTTTCCGACAGCTCGGAGGGTCATCGACTCCGGATGTCGAATCGAAAGGCAATATCTCGAAAGGAAATCGATTCCCGATGGTTTTTCTGCGGCGGGGCGGGGACGGGCTCGCAGGCGCAGGCGAGCAAATATCGAGAGGCCAGCAACGAGGCCACTTACGTTCCTACGAACACACCGGCTCTTTTTCTATCTCGCCCTCTACTATTTCTTCTTCTTCATCTTGCTCTCCTCCTTCTCCTCTTTCCCTGTTCGTCCCCTGCATATCACTCTCGTCGTCACACGCACACACACACGCACGCACATACGCACACGCATACATACTCTCTCTCTCTCTCTCTTTCCTGCTCTCACGCTGTCTCTCTCTTTCGCTCTCGCACTTTCTCCTACATTCTACTGCATTTATTATAAAAATAAAATGTAAAATCGTACCGAGGACGAGTTTTCCGAACGGTATAAAACTGCGAGCTCGTTCCTGTATTATCACTGTATACTCACGAAGGAGAGATCGATCCTTCGTCCTGATCGCGTTGTTCCTTCTCGCCCTATCTGCCGTCTCGTGCGAATGAACGGGCCGTCTTTTTCAGCGTGAGTTCGTCATTTTGTTTGTCTCTTTTTCTCTTTTATTCTTAATGTCGATTCAACGTAAGGTTCTCTCTCCGTGGGGAAGCTATCCGCGATCCGATCTTCGGCTCGTTTAGACGCGCTTACATATTTAGTGCCTGAACAGCTTCCGCGTTGGCTCCCGGGTGCGCGGCCCGGAAGCACATTCGAGCGCACGACGCTCGCGATCGATGGAAACTGAGAAAGCTGGAAGATACCTTACCTTATGGATCTATCGGTCCACGGATCTGTTTCTTTTTTTCTATTTATCTATCTCCCTCTAATTTCTCTCCCTTTCTCTCTCTCTCTCTCTCTCTCTCTCTCTCGACGGCTCGCTCGGCTCACGACGAGCGGGGACAAGTGTGTAGTATATAGTTCCTACCGTTTCGCGAGAACCCGTGAAGAGTGAGTGCATCTTGAATATAATACATAGGCTCTACAGATATATTCATTATCAATTCTCCGACTATACCAGTGAAAAAATAAATTATTACACGTTGGTAATATCTGTGTGAGTGTGTCGCGTGGTATGTGGTTTCCTTTTGTTTTTTTTTTTTCTTCTTCTCGATACTTCATGTGTCTCTCTCGTGCACGCGTGGATGCTCGCGTGTGACGTGTGGTCTACGTGTGCCCGTGTGGGTTCGTATCGTCGTATGTGTGCCGGAGTAATGTGTAAGGGCAGATCAGTGTACTTGTATGTGTGTAAATGTCCTTTATCTCGCGCTCTCTCTTTCTCTCTCTCTCTCTCTCTCTCTCTCTCTCTTTCTTTCTCTCTCTTTTTCTCTCTACGTGTGTATGCGTCGAGTGTACGAGTCTTTGCTGTCCCAGGTATCGGCGCTCGATGCGTCGTCCGAACGTCCACTATGTGTGCCGAGTATCGCACATGTGTGTATGTGTGAGTGTCTTTGCGTGAGAATTGTGTGTGTGCACATGTGTGTCTGTCTGGAGTAACCACATGGTGGCTTTCGTCGGACAAACGTCTCCCGCCATCGGGTCCTCATCGGGTGTTTCAGCTTTAGCACATATACACGTTATTCTCGTTAGTCGGCCGCTTTTCTATCCTTCTCCTACTCATCTCCTCACCTGTTATTCTCTTCTCCACGCCTAAAACGTCCCGCATGCACACTCTATCTCGCAACAGGCGTACTTCGGAAGCAGACATCTCTCTTTCTCTCTCATACATACATACACACACATACACTCTTTCTCTCTCTCTCTCTCTCTCTCTTTCTCTTTTCACACGCATTACACGCTCTATCCGTCCAATCATCGCGCCTCCTTTTCTTCGCCTCGACTCTTCGCTTCCGTGATCGTATCAATCAGGCTCGACCGTTTCGGCGGCTGTCTCTCTCCTCGCCCTCTATCTCTCCCCCATTTGTCAAACGCGCGTCGATGTATCCTCTCCCTACCGATCCGCCGTCGCGACGGACGATGTGTGTATGTACAAAGTGTCCCGAACTCCCTCGGACAGGAAAGATCGAACGAAAGAGCCTTTCAGAGAAGCGTCCAGATGGGAATCGCGGCAAGGGTGCGGGGTGATGACGGTGTCAATCACCGTCATCATCAGCAGCGCCCGAATGATAGCGACGACCGAGCGAAGCGGTTTCGTCGGGAAGAGAGACAGAGTAATGGGGACAGACACCCGATGCTCGTCATCAGGGCAAGGAAGCCGGACTCTGCACGCCGTCTCGACGGCGCAAAGACGACGGGACGACGATTGTGTCCGCTAGCGTCGCCGCGCGACTCTTCCTCTCCCTCTTGCCGTTCGGCGTGGCGGCAGCAGCGCCGAGGACGAGGACGCGCGCGTCGGGACGGCGCCCTGACGGCGCGTTAGCTTGATCACGCGCGAGGTATTAGTTGGCCACGAGCAAGTGCTGGTATTGGCTGGCCGGGTAGGGTGCAACGGAGCCGAGGCCGAAGTTGTTGAGGCCCTCGACCAGAGCGCTCTTATCCTGCTGCTGTGCCGCGCCGGTCGCGCTGTTGACGTTGCCGTTCGTCGTCGCGGTGCCGATCGGGCCCAGATTGCCGCCAGCGGCGCTTTGAGACACGGCGGTGCCGGCGTTCGCTGTGCTGCCGGCACCGGTGCCGCCGCTCGTGCTGTTCACGCCGCCACCGTAGAACTGGTGACCGGCGAGTGCGGTCGGGTCGAGGTAGGACGACGGGAACTTGGCGCCGGCGTAGAGATCGGCAGGCAAGTAGCCACCGTGGCTCGACGAGTCGAAGATGTTGCGATGGGGGAACTGCGCGTGGTAAGCCGCCGGGCCGTGCTGGAAGAAGTACGCGCTGGGGTCCGTGTGCTGTTGTCCGGCACCGGCGACTATGCTGCCGGGTGACAGGCTGCGACTGCGCGGTGAGCTCTGCGAGACCGGCAGACCGCCCGCGGCGGTCGCCTGTTGCGGTTGTTGTTGCTGCTGCTGTTGCTGCGGCTGCGGCTGTTGGTGCTGCTGCTGCTGCTGCTGCTGCTGCTGCTGTTGCTGTTGTTGCTGGTGGTGATGGTGATGGTGGATCTGCTGCTGCATCGCGCGCTGCTTTATATAGTTCGAGAACTCGGTGGGCGACATCCTGAAACCGAGCGTTATACCGTGCGGTTCGTCAGTGTGTCGTGTGTTGCACGTGTGATCGGGCTCGATTGGTATACGCGCCCTCTGGTTACGTGGCGCGTCGCCCTCTGCGAATTGGGGATAACAAGGAGCGCGAAGCTAAAGTTAATCCTCGCTAATATTCTGCCAATGTAAGATTATCACCTCTACGAGACAGTTGCTCTCTAGATTCGGGGTCGCATGCTCTGCTTGACTTCTACAGTTACTTGTCACGTAGCGTGGTCTAGCGCGATCGACTATGTTCGCACCTAAAGGCGATCCCACTGTTCAACTTGGCTCTTGTACCGCGGGAACTGAATAGCGTTAATTTCTAGCGGAGATTAATACGTGAACGTGTATACCTGGGATAATTGCAAGCAGCATTCCACACACAGATCAGGTTACTTAGGAGACTCGAGGAGTATAGTATTCAAAGGATTGCACGTCTCTGGTTAGATTGTGTGTAAATAAAAAAATTTCATTAATTCGATATATTCGGAACAATTTTCATCACCGTCCTTCCGCAAGACACGATACTCCTCGAGTGGCAACATGACAAATCTCGGTCATGAAAATTATCCTCGTATCATTACACGAAATGGCTAAGCCACTACTGTTACAACAATCTCCCATTACGACATCTCCAGCTCGCAACAACCCTCCGCAACCGTGGCGCGAGGTGGAGGCGAGCGATTATCGTAAGTACATTCGCGCAAGCCTCTCGGCGCTCCTATTACGAGTGGCGACTAGACGTGACTCCAAGAGTCCGCCGCTCTACGGGTCTCACAAGCGAGAGGAACATCACTACTAACCTGTTGGCGCGTTTGCTGCTAGTCTTGAGTTTAGTACTGCCGAACTTGGTCTGAGCGAAGGTGGCGGTGGTGAATGTGAGTGGGGCGGTGGTGCGCGGGATGAAGGCCGGCACAGGACTGGGCGAGCCTTTGAAGGAGCTGGTGATGGGAGTCGGCGAGGGTGCCGACGAGGAGCCGGAGCCATGGCCGCTCTGCTGATTGTTGGACGAGCCGTTGCTGGTGTTGCTGCCGAGCGAGCTCGAGAAGGGCGAGGTGGACTTTGGACTGAGACTAAGACCACCCAGCGATGTGCCGACGGCCTCGATCGGCCTGAAGCACTGCGCCTCTGGGTTGAAGGTCTTAGTGACCTCGCGATCGGCCGAGGTCTCGTCGTGAGGATCGCCGGTCTCGGAGTAGAGGATCTTGACGGCGTTCAGCTCGCCTATCCGGTAGCTCACCTCACCTGGATCGACCCAGACGGCGAGCTCGGCCGGTAGGTTCTCCAAGATGTCCTGAATCGGCACGCCGCTCTCCTTGGCGGCGCGTTCCAGCACCGGATCGACCGGGTCGCCGGTCTTGAGGCATCTGAACGCGGAGCCCTTGAACGGCTTCTCCGGGTACCAGTGACCCTTGAACTTGTCTTTCAGGGCCTTCTCGAGCTCCTCGCCGAAGATGTTGACCCGTCTGCGCGGCAGTTTGTTGTATAGATATGATATCACGAAGTTAAGCGCCACCTGCACCTCGATGTGCATCTTGGCCCTCGGGAGAATCTTCGAGCTGTTGACGCTCGTAGCGGCCGCGGGATAGCACCGAGGACGTCTGCACGATCGGCCGTCTTGCCACCGGCGAGGGATTGTTGCGGGTGGTGGTGTTATGTCGACGCTCGACTAACGACGGAGCGCGCGGGAAGCTATCGTCTTGCGCGATTCGGAACGCTCGCGAAGCTCTGGGATCTGTAATCATACACGTAACACATCCATTTTAAGTGCAATGTTGCAGAGTGATAATAATTAAATTAATCATCGATATGATAACCAAGCCTGGAAAATAACGCGTTGTCTGTAACGCCGTTGCGACTTTTGCTGTGCCTTTTTTCAATAATAACTTGGCGTTATTCTTTTCATTAGTAACGGCAATAGTAACGCAAGTACACTTTTGTGCACTGAGAGAAACAAATAGTTGGAATAACTATAATCTCACTATATTTTATAGTTCGTTTTGGCCTCAAACATATATTTATAGTTCATCTAAACATGAAGATATAGTAGAATGAACACAGATTTATAGTCACCATTTTATTACTCTATATATATGGTAAAGCACCTTTTGGGAATATAGTTACATGTACCTATATTTGCCAAATATTCCAATTGTATTGACTATATAAAATAGTTAATTTCTCGTACCATTCAATATTTGCCACCTTACTATATTTCTTATTTAAAATAATTATAATTCTTGGTAAAAATTTTACACGGGTCAGTTATATTATACTTATATTGTAAATATTACAAATATTATGATAACATTTACTATAAAAATTATATTCCTAACTATTATCTTTTTACTATGCCATTATAGTTCCAAATATCATACATTTTTCTCTCAGTGTGTAGACAGCGGTAACGAATCGTTCCTTTCATCGTATTTTTGTAAAACACATGTGCAATGAGTTGCACCCAATCATGAAAAGAAAATCTTCAAAGACTTCAAAAATGGAGGTTATGACGACTCGTTACTTCTTGAGTAACGAGTTATTCTGTTAACCCTACGCGTACAATATTAGGTCTGTGACTCGAATGAAAGTTGGTAATCGCTCATCAACTTTCAGAATGGCGCAAATCTGTTTGTAGATTTTGATTTTATCGCGATTTTATCTTGTAACTAATGCTATATCTATGAAAACAAAATATGTTGAAAAATATTTATCTTCGACAAAGTTATGGTGGCTCAAAGTTTCCTGGCTTTAATAAGCCCAGATTGTATTCTATGCCTTAAAAATATGATTCTGTGCAGAAGACAAAAAAATAACTTTCCCAAGTCTGGTAATAAATAGCGCAGATTTTCAACAGATCGTTCACATCTAATTAAAAAATAACACACTTTTTGTGTGCAGGTAGAACGCACTAAACTGAATACCAAATTACTCTATCATTTCGCAAACAACCACGTAAAATTTTGAATTATTAATTAAAGAATATTAACGAATGATCACGCGCGATATCGAAAATGAACTGTGATAGAGATGTCTGCCGTTGTGTGCTTGTATATTAAGAGAATGTTGGAGTCGAATTATTTGCCGATAGAATACTGACTCTTTTCTGCAAAGTTTACGTTGTATTGGCTGCACAGAATCATAAGTATTCTTACACAATAAAAATATATGCAAGAATGAATTTGAGCATTGCTTAATATATTACAAATAATAAAAATTTTCAAAATTGACATTTCAAGTGCAACTTATTCTGTCAGACATTGTCAGTTAAAGTAAATATTTGCCTGATATAAAAGATCTGTAATGCTGAATACGAGTCTACACCGTTCAGAAAAATTTTAAAGAACATTGCTGCACCTTTATATCTGAATTTAGGAGCTTACAAATATAGAAAAAAATTACAGAAAGATTTCTGTATATGTGTATTTAGGTTTTCTGTTAAATATACAGTAAAACAATACACATTTACGTAAAATCCATATATAAGAAAAAGATTAGTTAGTGACGATCGTCTCTACGTTATCGACATTTTTAAGCTCGTCATCGATTTCAGCATCCCCTTAAATCAAACTACACAAAAAATGTCCTGTACCATTTTGCAAATATGAACACGTGAACACGTAGATTTTTGGTTATCAATTAAAGAAGATTAGTGCATTATCGCGCTCAAACAAGTGCCATAATCTTCTTTAATTAATAACCAAAAATCTACGTAGTCATTTGCAAAAAATGGTAGAAGACTTTTTTATTCAGTTTCATCTAATGTATACAAGCACACAATAACAGACGTTGCCAATACAGTTCATTCGTTGTATCACGCGTGATCATTCGTCGATATTCTTTAATTAATGACTCAACATTTTGCGCAATAACAGAGGAGTTTTGTGTTCTGTTTCATGAGTTCTACTTGCACACAACGTGTGCAAGACTGTCATTAATTGTCAGATATCCTATATATCTGTGCGCACAAAAGTCCTATTGTGTACTACGCGATATAGTCGACAAATTCCATTCAATTATGGCCCCGTCACAAGTCGCATTGCAGGTTAAACGCGGCTCCAGTGAACCTTAATTACGATCCTCGATTCGCAAATGAGTGGCGCGAAGTTCGCCGGCTGGGAATATTATCGCTCGCGTATGCATTATCAGAGACCAATAATAGCGAAACGTTCTACGAACGGTATGCGAAGATCGGAGTGCTCGCTCGTCCCTTCGCGGTGGGGATTCCGTGGCAAGTGCGAGATCGCGTCAAAGGAACTCGCCGACTATCTTGGAAAAGGACTCTCTCGGCTCTTGTCGACGGCGCGTTATCGGCTCCTTTCACGAGCGAGGCTCGCGCATTGAAACGGAACGCGACTTCCGGTTACTCATGCCCGTTCCTCGGCCCCGCACGCTCAAGGAACCGAAACAGAGCCGATCGTTTCTGCCTCCTACCGCTTTCCGCGCGCCACGAAGAAGCGTCTGTGAGGATAATGTCTTCTCAAGGCTCGGGCATGGGCAAAAGACGGATTTTCCGAGGACTCTGCTAGCGAGGGTTGCTTCCGTTTGTAATACAACGAAAACCGACCAACCTTCTCATTGTCGCCCGTAACTCAACTGGACACGCGTGCACAGATTTGATACTTTACACAAAAAGAAATCGATATATACAGGGTGTCTCACACTCTCCTCCGGGCATTTTGTGAACGTAGAACAGGTTGGGGTGAACATAAAAGTCCTATACCGTTTTGCGATATTCGCAATAATTATCGAAATATTAATTGTAGAAAATCATGTAATGATCATGCAGAATATGGTAAATGAGTTATAGTAGCGACGATTGTCGTCGTGTACTTATACTTTAGGTCAAATTGAACAAAAAAGTCATATACCATTTTCCAAATAATCACATAGATTTTTAATTATTAATTAAAGAAGATTAATGCACGATTTTGCGTGATAATGCACTCATCTTCTTTAATTAATAATTAAAAATCTATGTGATTATTTGCAAAATGGTAGAGGACTTTTTTGTTCAATTTGACCTAAAGTATAAGTACACATCGACAGTCGTCGATTATAACTCATTTACCATATCCTGCATGATCATTCACAAATTTTCTACAATTAATATTTCGATAATTATTGCGAATATCGCAAAACAGTATAGGACTTTTATGTTCACCTCAACCTGTTCTACGTCCCCACAAAATGCCCGGAGGAGAGTGTGAGACACCTTGCATATACAATTCTTAAAGTAAATAGAGAGGTGAAAGATATTTTAATAACTCTGCCAGTGGCGCAGCCAGAAAAATGTTTCTGAGGGGGCTGCACTTTTTATTTTTGACGAGCAAAAAAAAGATTATTCGAAAAAATTTTTCTCACACCTAGCGTAACCCAGAAAATTAATTTCGGGGAAGGCTGCAGCCCCTTCAGCCCCCTCCCCCTGGCTACGCCTCTAAACTCTACGTTTCTCTTCACCCCGAAATTTCTAAAGAAATATCTACAGTGGGATTGGTAATAGGTAGTTAGGACAGAGTTGTGATGTGAAAGGGGAATCCCGTAAGAAGTCCGTTATCTCACCCTATTCGGAGAATACGGGATACGTTACAGACATCTATTCCACTCTCTAGCGAGCCGTCACTTCGAACGGGTTGGGCAATGTGAAAAATCCAGCAGCGCCTGCGGTTTGTATTTAGCAGGATGAGCAGTTTAGTCATAACCCGTGTACCGTAACGCGGCACGCGGATCACCAGGAACCACAGGGAGACTTGCTCACTGTGTCCCATCCGACCCTACTGCACAGAGAGAAAAAAATAGTTGGAATAACTATAATCTTACTATATTTTATAGTTCGTTTTGGCCTCAAACATATATTTATAGTTCATCTAAACACGAAGATATAGCAGAATGAACATATATTTATAGTCACCATCTTATTACTCTATGTGTATAGTAAAACACGCTTTGGAAATATAGTTACATGTACCCATATTTTCCAAATATTGCAATTGTATTAACTATATAAAATAATTAATTTCTCTTACCATTTAATATTTGCTACTTTACTATGTTTTTTATTTCAAATAATTATAATTCTTGGTAAAAGTTTTACATGAGTCAGTTATACTATGCTTATATTGTAAATATTACAAACATTATGGTGACATTTACTATAAAAAAGATATTCCTAACTATAATCTTTTTACTATACCATTATAGTTCCAAATATCATACATTTTTCTCTCAGTGTGTGGAAGGACACTGAGAAAAAAATTTATATTTGGAACTATAATGGTATAGTAAAAAGATTATAGTTAGGAATATCTTTTTTATAGTAAATGTCACCATAATGTTTGTAATATTTATAATATAAGCATAGTATAACTGACCCATGTAAAACTTTTAGCAAGAATTATAATTATTTGAAATAAAAAATATAGTAAGGTAGCAAATATTGAATAGAAAAATTAACTATTTTATATAGTCAATACAATTGGAATATTTGGCAAATTTACGTACATGTAACTATATTCCCAAAGTGTGCTTTACTGTATACATAGAGTAATAAAATGGTGACTAAAAATCTTTGTTTATTCTGCTATATCTTCATGTTTAGATGAACTATAAATATATGTTTGAGGCCAAAATTAACTATAAAATATAGTGAGATTATAGTCATTCCAACTATTTTTTTCTCTCAGTGGAAGTTCGGATTTCTGAGTGGGAAAGGGGCTCATGAATGTTGCATTCTCATAT